ACGTCGTGAGGGACGGGTGTGCTTCTCGCCGCTCCGAGTTCCACCATCCCTCGCTGTCGATATTTTCTCGCTTATACGCAAAACCACGACAACAAAATATCACATTAACCACCGCTAAGATTTAATTTAATAATACACCATAATGTAAGATCCTGATATTTGCGGGGAAATTATTTTGAACAGCCATGTCTGAATTTGATATGCAAACTGCGCGGAGTGCGAATTTTGTTTACTCTCGATTTTCCACCATAAAGTAGAGTGTACTATCTACCCGAGTGTGCTGTGGGTGTACGTCTACGTGAGTGCACTAATTATGTACATCTACGTAAGTGTATTACGTGTGTACATTTACGTGAGTTTACTGTGTATGTGTATATCTTACGTGCGTGTACTGTGTATGTATACAAGGCACTGATGCTACATAGCGCCTTATGAACTGTACCTGGACTTAATGCCTGTACCTGTACTTGTGCATGTAACTACTTTTACCTGTATCTGTACCTATACTCGTACCTGTACCTCTGCTGTACTTTTACCTGTAACTGTACCTATACTTGTACTTGTCCCTACACCTGTACTTTCACTAGTTATATGTACTTGTACCTCTACTTGTGTATGTACTCGTACCTGTATTTCTGGTTACTTGCATCTGTACCTGTGTCTGTACTATTGTTGCGGAAATCATCACCTACAAAGGAAATAAACGAACCAGTGAAGGAATTACAGTAATAGACGTATAGTACAGTGTTACTGGAGTGATAATCTGACATTAAAGGTGTTTTGTGTTGTGTTGTTGTGGCGTTGGAAATACTTGTGTAAAGAATAATAATGAATAATACTTGAAATATATAACTGAGGCATAATAATGAAAAAAAAATACTTGAAATAAATGACTGTGTGAAGCATAATAATAAGTAAAACTTGAAATAAATAACTGAAGCATAATAATGAATAATACTTGAAAAATACAGAAAGAAAATTGAGGCACTGAGACGAAGGAACAAGATGGTGATAGACAAAGACAGTGAAGTGTTAAAGCTACGGTACACTGTGTAACATTAATGAGGGGAAAAAACCAGCGGTGAAGACAACTCTCCCCTTTGTTTGCTGCCACTTGACCACTAGAAACACCTTCCCCTCAAGTGCCTGGTGCCTTCCTCTCACCCTTTAGTGTTGAGTATTACCCTTCGCTCCCTTAGTGCCAGTTGCCATCCCTCGTCTCTTAATACCAGTTACCATCCCCTTACCCCTTAGTGCGTCCCCTCACCCCATAGTGCCAGTTGCCTTCCCCTCGTTCCTTAGTACCAAGTGCCTTCCCCTCATCCCTTAGTGCCAAGTACCTTCCCTCATCCTAGTCCCAAGTGCCTCCCCTCGTTCCATAGTGCCAAGTGCCTTCCCCTCGTTCCTTAGTACCAAGTGCCTTCCCCTCACCCCCTTAGTGCCAAGTACCTTCCCTCATTCTAGTCCCAGTGCCCCCTCTCCCCTTAGTGCCATGCCTTAACCCTTACCCTCAGTGTCTTCCTTCAGTGTCTCCCCTCACCCTTCACTACGTTTAGTTAAGGGAAGAGAGGGAGAAACAGGGAAAATTAAGATGTGGACACAGAAATATCAAAGAAAAGAAGAACAACTTACAACTGTCAGGAAAGTGGTAAGGAAAGTGTCACTGTAAAGGGAGGGTGACGTTAATGAGGGGAAAGTAACTGTTACTAAGGGGAAACTGACGTAATATGGGGAATTTTACTTTCAATGAGAGAAAAATCACTCCTAGAAAACAAAATTACTACTAACGAGGGGAAGTGATCTAGTGAGGGGAAATTACAGTTGGCGAGGGGAAAATGACCTTTAATGACGGGGAAATTTAGTGACTGTTAGCGAGAGGAAGATTACCAACTGACGGGAGGAAAGTGGCTTAGTGAGGGGGGAAAAGCAAGTGACCTGTTGAGGGTAAAGTGACAGAGAGGGGAAAGTAACTGTTACAGAGCGTAAAATGTCAGTTAGAGAAGGGAAAGTGACTGTCAGAGAGAGTAAAGTGTCAGTTAGAGAGGGGAAAGTGACTGTCAGAGAGAGTAAAGTTTCAGTTACAGAGGGCAAAGTGTCAGTTACAGAGGGGAAAGTGACTGTTAGTGGGGGGTAAAATGACTTAATACCTGCCAGGGATTAAAAAGTGACTTCTTGTTACTCATAATGAGGGGAAAATTCGTGCCAACAACTGGTAAATAAGGAGGAGGAGGAGAAGGAAGAGACGATGAGGGGAACGCGACAAGTTGTGAGGGGAAAATAAATTTAGGTCAAATATTCTAACAAGGAAAACTAAAGGGAAAAAAAAACATATTTCGACACAGTGTATATGGCAGATAGTGAGGGGAAAAAGTTACAAGCTATCTGAGGGTAACTGGTAGTGAGGGGAAAACTAGCATATATCAGGAGATAATGAGGGAGGAAAATGAGATAATATGTGGAGAGCACCGTGTAGTGAGGGAAAAAATAGTCAGATAATCAAGATAAACAGGGGGAAAGAGACAGATAATGAGGGGAAAAATGACCGATAATCAGGGGAAAGACATATAGTGAGGGGAAAAAGTGACAAATATTCAGTGAGGGGGGGAAATTGACAGATAAAATTGCCAAGTGACAGAGTGAGAGTGTGAGGGGAGAAAAGGTGAGATAAAGAGGAGGAAAGTATTAGGGGGAAGATGACAGGTGATGAGAGAGGGAAGAAGAAAAGTGAGGGGAAGACAATGACCTTGAACCTTTCACTTAACAGGGGCTTTTAAGGGTCACCTGTGACTGTTCCTGAGTAGTGGTGGTTCATACAGGGCTTAATGGTCGCTATAGGGCTGGGGACTATTAGATTTAGGGACTAATAGTATTTAGAACCATTAGATTTGGGTCTATTAATGCTGGGGTATATTTTATACTGGGAACCATTTTATACTGGGGTCCATTTTATACTGGGGTCCATTTTGTACTGTGGACTATTGTGTACTTGACTCTATTTGAACTGGGAACCACTTTGTGCCGAGAGAGAGAGAGAGAGAGAGAGAGAGAGAGAGAGAGAGAGAGAGAGAGAGAGGTCTGTCTGTCTTACACTGGCGAGAGACACGAGGACACATCAAGATAACAGACCCACTTAAGAGACGAAGGCAGAGAATGTTCCTTAAACTACAGCCGAGATTACACCGAGGCTCTCCTGTAACTCTTGTCCTCGAGGCTTTACAAGAGTTACAGTAGATCCTCGAGGACAAGAGTTACAGTAGTTCCTCGAGGACAAGAGTTACAGTACAGCCTCGAGGAAAACAGTTACAGTAGTCCTCGAAGACAAGAGTTACAGTAGAACTTCGAGGACAAGAGTTACAACAGATCCTCGAGGACAAGAGTTACAGTAGGGCCTCGAGGACAAGAGTTACAGTAGAGCCCCGAGGACAACAGTTACGGTAGTCCTCGAGGACAAGAGTTACAGTAGAGCCTCGTGGACAAGAGTTATAGTCCTCGAGGATCTCTTGTAACTCTTCGCCTTTCACTTCACTGATGGATGTTGTCCGACTGATTGACCTTTTTACCCAGTGACTAATTCTTGGGCATAAATCGTTTAATAATGTCTATTGTATTTTTTTTAACCATTTAATGAACTTAAATTTTCAATATTTTTCTTTCATTTTCTGTTAACTAATTTGTTCGCCATTGTTCCATGCACTGAAAAACAAAACGATGATTATTATCGTTTGCGCCTCCATAGTTTCATGTTAATGTACGATTGTCACTTGTTTTTTTCAGCTTTGTTTTGTTTTTTTTTCATTTATATTCGACCTTATAATAATCTAATGCTTTATCTATGGACACCGGATAATACTCGTACAGTTTTATTCCCTCACTAGGATATTTCTTTTAAATTTCCTTATTACAAAATGTTGGTTTTGTGTGTGTGTGTGTGTGTGTGTGTGTGTGTGTGTGAGTGTGAGTGTGTGTCCCAATTACTCATGTACGTGAAGCCCCGTCCATGACAGACACAGCACCTGACAAATGACACTATCATACCCCCAGCTTGCACTACGGGGTTGCTGCTATCATGTTAAGCTATACTCGTATTAAGCTGTACTCGTATTAAGCTGTACTCGTATAAGCTGTACTCTTATTAAAAACTGTCCTCGTGTTAAACTCTACTCGTATAAAAAGTTGTATTAAGCTGTGTTAAGCTTTACTTCGTTAAGCTCTACTCGTATTAAAAGCTGCACTACGCCCTCAGCTGTCAGTTTCCTGCTGCTGGTGCCGCTGTGTCGAGTGGTGGTTGACCTTTGCTAGCTGTTAAAACTGCAGGCGACAGGAGCGCAGTTCAAGCAGTGGTAAAAGTATTAATGTGCAGCGTTAATACTTCATACATAATGCAGTCGTCCGTATGTATAGTTGATAAATACCCCGTTGTATACACTGCATAATACATTATCTCTCTCTCTTTCTTTTTATTCCATCCATCCATCCATCCATCCATCCATCCATTCATCCAACCAACTATCCATTCATTCATTCATTCATCCATCCATCCATCCATCCATCCATCCAACCAACTATCCATCCATCCATCCATCCATCCACCTATTTATCTACAGCAACATAAAATAGAAGAAACAACATCCAATAAAACCAGTGCATGAGAAAATCGATAAGCCACGAAACGCGACGAAGGGAAGGAGAGAATAAAGAATAATAAGTGCACAGTATATGATAAAAAATGGTACACGGGAAATCAAGATGGAAAAAAAAAGTTGTAAATGATCTTGATAATGAGAGCTTTTAATCTTATAATGAGAGAATCTAAAGCACTTATGATGAATAGGAGTGAGGTGGGAAGCGGAAATCTCTCTCTGTCTGTCTCTCTCTCTATTGCTTTCATGCTTTCAACCTTTCTCTCTCATGTTTTCATCCCCCCCTCTATCTCTCTCTTTCTGCCTTGCTTTCATCCTCTCTCTCTCTCTCTCTCTCTCTCTCTCTCTCTTTCTGTCTTGCTTTCATCTTCTCTCTCTCTCTCTCTCCCCACACACACACAACAAATATAAGTCAAGGCCACAAAGGGACAGAAACAAACCAAACAAAGCATCCAAATTAAAACATTGAAATTGTCATCGAAGTTGCAAGTAATTGATGGGACGAAGTGAGAGGTGTGTGTGTGTGTGTGTGTGTGTGTGTGTGTGTGTGTGTGTGTAAATTAAAATAAATGATGGAGAAGGTAAAAATGGGAATAACTCTGGTGCAAATTACGAAAAATAAACAAATAGAGGGTAGATGGGAGACAATGAAGAAGAAGAGAGGAGGAAGGTTAATCAGAATATG